ATTTTCTTTATAAAACCTTATAACTCGTTTGTACGTGTAGCATTACTCATTATAATGTTCCCCGCTCGGCGACCTGTATTCTCCTCGAACGTTTCTTCTATAAACCCCGGCTCCAAATCTATTCCCTTCCCGATTAGGCACGATCTGTCTGCAGATCGATCATGGAGGCGGCGGCGGCGGCGGCCTCGTCGTCATCCCGGTCATGCGTGGACCGGCTGGGCGACCTGCCGGATTGCCTCCTGCAGGGCATCCTGTCGTTCCTGGGTTCCCGGCAGGCCGTGCAGACGACCGCGCTGTCCCGGCGGTGGAGGAACGTCTGGCGCTCCGTGCCCTGCGTGGACATCGACCAGCGGGAGTTCCCCTCCGTGCCCCGCGTCGACATCGACCCGCGGGAGTACGTCCTCCACGGCCTCGACGACAGCGGCTGGCACCAACTTGGGCACTTCGCCAACATGATGACGACGTTGCGCCCGGGCGTCCAAGTCGGGCCGGCGCCGCTGGACGCCTTCCGTCTCTACTTGGTCGGCCGTGGCCCGTTCGACGACTGGGTCCACTTCAGCCTGATGCGCCGCCCGGCGGCAGTCGACGTCCACTACGCCTACGGCAGCGCCATGAACCTGCCGCCCTTCCTGAGCTTCAGCCTGGACCCCGCATGCGCCGACATCACCTCCCGCCTCACCACCTTGCGGCTCTTCGGCCTCAGCCTGGCAGACGACTTCGCGGAGCAGATCAGGGACCGGTGCCCGGTGCTCGAGAGCCTGCACGTCGAGAGCTGCGTCTGCTGTTGCCACACCATCGCGTCGCCCACGCTCAAGACGCTCGCCATTGTCCTCACCCACCACGACTACAGAAGCGCCCCTCTCCTCCTCGTGCTGCCTCGCCTCGCCTCGCTGCGCCTCGTGCTTCCCTTCGGCAGCACCCATGGCTACCCGGTAGCAATTGCTCCACCAGAAAACAACGTCGTCCAAGCGTCCTTGTGTATATCAGACACCGACGGCGAGGAACTACTAGGGCTCGGCCAACCGGTGACTAAATACAAGCGCCGTTTCTTGAAATCCATGTACCACCTCCTGCTCCAACTACCCAATGTCAGAAATCTGGTTTTGTCCGGCTTCACAACCATGGTATGTAACTATGTCCCAATTGTACATACGCATTCTATATATGATTATCTCTCACAACCATGGCAGCCTCAATTTATAGCACCTAATTGAGGCTATAGCCTGCTAAAGCTGTTAGATTGTACGTACATGATGCCTTTTAATTAACGTGATGCCCCTCCAAATGCTATAGCGGGCTATTTAATACTTTAAAGTTAATACACACTGATGATTCTGTTGTTAATACTGTATAATAAATTAGGCGTTGTTACGCTGGAAATCGCAAGAATTCCCACTAATGCAAAGCTTGAGAACCTTGCTTCTAGATGGGTGTGATGTTGGAGCCAACTTCTTCGCACTGACCATCATCCTTCGCAACGCCCCTAATCTGGAGGGGCTTAGGCTGCACCGCTGCAAGGTACTCATGTTCATTTCATCATGTTCTAGAACAAGTAGCCTGGCAGTACATTTATTTAAAGCATTTGATGTTGATTATTTACAAATTTGGATAAAACTCCATTTGGATCACGTGTTTGTTACACTGTATGTCGACTTGGTTCCCCTGTTTTCACTTTAACCCACATTCCGTATTTAGTTGTAATATAACAAATCATAAGTAGTCATAACCTATATATAGATAATAACATATCATAAGCACCTGTTGGTTTTATTCAAAGTGGCTATGATTTCTTATATTGAATCAAAATCTCGAATTTGGTTCAAAGTGAATATCCTGTTAAAAAATGTGGTTCAAACTTCCAAAATTGAAAACAGTCCAAGTTGTCACATTATAACAAATACGAGGTCCAAAATTGATTTGCATTATCTCAGTAAGTTTATTATCGATTCTTTCGCAATGTTAACTTAGTATAAAGTCATAATGCAATGGTCGGAAGTATCATATCTAAAAACATTTGAAAAGTACTCCCTCGTTCCAAATTGTAAACACATTCTAGTTTTCCCTAAGTCAAAATATGATGTACTTATCAAGTATTTCTATAGCAGGCCAACAGTATAGTTTTTATTACATGCAGAATACTGTGTGAAATTCTATATTGTCCTTTCCAAAAAAATTATACGTACCATTTTGTTCATTTGTTGCCAGACATTTAATCTAATATGCACTAATCATTGTGCAAGAACAGTCTCTAGACCCACCTAATAGAGGGAAATGGAAAGCAGAATTGAGGAGATCATGTTCCATACACTGTAGACCAATACTCGCTCACGGCAAGAAGTTGGAGTCAATAGAAGTTAAGTACCGACGAGCTGATATTCCTCACATGGCCAAGGTTTTATTAGAAATTTTGATGGGAACACCAAAGGATGTGGGGAAAATGGTGCCTACTCGTGGCGATGTGTTAAGAGATCGAGCACCACACAAGACGATACAATTATTTGGGCCAGGAAAATGACGAAGGCTATCAATAGAAGTTCAACTGGTGGGCACTCAAATTTAAAGTGATATGGTTAATTATTGATTTGTGCCGCTCCTGATTGATGATGTAATAAGTGTTATAGTTTGTTACTAGGACATATGCCCATGCGTTGCAACGGGAAAGAAAATTGACGTGCATTTGCAACCACAACACCCCATACATCGCTTAGAAAAAAGCCATCATTCCAAGGAAATTTACATCATATAATTTCATATGATGCACCTGTGCTGCTCTTCTACACTAATACACTGTTGCGTTTAACAGAAACACTAGTTTCTCATAATTCCCTTGTTAGTCCTCCAGAAATAAGGAAAGTATCTCTTTTCTGATTGTCTGTATCTCTTCTTGTAGCAAAAGTAGGAAACTATCTCTCTGCCGATTGCATGTATATATTACTTTCCTGGAGTTACTGATTTACTTGCCACTAACCAATAAATTGGTCTAGGGTAATTTCGTCCTAACATATTTATAATTATGTGACTTGGTCACCGTGCCGAAAATAATACATCTCATACTCTTCAAATACACCCTCAATTAAATGCGTGCATTCCGTATATAACACTTTGGTCCATGCTTCCAGACTTAAGATTTGCTTTCAAAATATTACGAGCTGGGTAGTACCTCGATATGAGAACCTGGGCGCACAAAGAGGATGGATTCTTTAAAGGCCTCCAGCACTGATTTGCCAACATGGCCGTATTAAAAGTGGGAAGATCAGAAAGCCCATCCTTTGGTATACGAAGTTTCCACCAAGCAAGCCAGTGCATCTATCGATGGTCGTCATCAACTCCACACAACAGATGCGAAATAGCATATGTAACTCCTCTGCAAATGTTTCTAGGAATCATCAATGGTGTCATCGCCGAAAAAAAGAATATTGTCATCACAAACACAGGTATGGATTGAGCGGCTACCTTCAAAAGAGTTTCTTTCCCACCCATAGACAATTTCTTTTTCTTCCAACCACTTACCCTTGCTAGGACTATTTCAAACAAGTTCTTAAAAACAAATCACTCATGTCAGTTCCGACCATTGCAGGTAAGCTAGGATACTTATCATTAAGGGATTTTGTCATAATATTTAATTCTTGACATCTATTACATTTCGATTGTACGCGGCCCCAACATTTCTCCTAAGCAGTCACTTTCCATTTTTAGTGGCCCACAAGCCAGCGTCGTACTTCAGCATTTATGGGAGGTGAAAACATGCAAGGAGCAGAAGTCTGGTACTACCTCCGTCTCGGTGAATAAGTCATTCGCATAGTTCTAGGTCGTCGATTTAACTATCTAAATATGTATTATATGTGACAAAAAAAATATTTAGAAACTACATCCGTGTAGAAATCTAGTGATATACTTTTCATGACATATAACACATATTTAATTCCTCAAATCGATGACCTAGAACTACACGAATGACTTATTCACCTAGACAAAGGTAGTACCATGTGGGCTCAGCGTACGCCCTCGCATTCCCGTTTAGAGTCAGCTGATAATGATTTCTGGCCATCCACATGACGAGATTGACGTGCATGCCCCGGCCAATCTATTCTTGCCCCATCAACACAGGAAAGAAATTAATAGTATCTTCAATGACACTCCACCCGCTCTGCTAGGACTAGCATCATGAACGAACGAATCCAATGTGATATAGTTTTGAAGGCAAGGCAAATATGAGCAGCATCATGAGACAACTGCAGTACTATAGTAGTACTATTATTGACAAGGACTTTGAATGAGTGAGCTGTGAACACATTGATTATGTGCATTGCATCCAATGCAATCATGCTATTCTGCAGTGACTGTGTCTGTGTGAACTATGCTACTAACTATGAGTGATCTAGTAGGTGAGTCAGTTCCATCCCTTTCATACTGTTGGAGCCAGTTGTCATGGAGGTTCATACTTACATGTGTGTTGCAGCATAATTTTCGAATCGGTCCACCACCTATTTTTACATAGGCGTATGGCATCATCTTGTTGTTTTATCTATGTCAGACTGTTAGAGTTGGGTGGGTGCATCTTCACTATGTAGAGGCTGGATGTTGCTCATCATACTTTGTATCCACCTGATGCTACATCGTTGAGTTAATAAAAGCTCTTTTTATCAGTAAAAAAGAAAGCCCTTTCATACGGCAGCCAGCTCCCTCCTTGACAGTTTCCCAGAAATTGGAGTGAAGCTTCCTGCGTGCTTGAAGCCTTGAACGGCTTGTAGTAGCTCACCTCCGCTACAAACCAAGCCCATATATACTACTCCCTCTGTTCACTTTTATAAGACCTTGAAGACATTTCAGACAATGTACAAAACAGCCTATTTTGAGCTGTCTGAGAGGACTTACAAAAGTGAACGGAGGGAGTAGTAGTAGTAGTCGTCCATCTTGATCTTGTGACACTACACCAATCAGCCACATACAAGAGGAGCTAGAGCTAGAGCTAGCTAGCCGCACAAGGGCCGGCCGGCGCCATGGCAGCGGCTAGAAGAAGAAACCATTGGAGGCTTGTCACTGCCCCCGTCCTGCTAGTGCTACTACTCGCCTCACCATGCCGATGCACAGGCGCTGCACCGGCGACGACGATGAACGCCACCACAGACGACGACTTGCGAGCTCTCCTCTCCTTCAAGGCCCTCATCAACGGCGACCCGGAGGGGGCGCTCTCCTCGTGGGTGAACACCAGCGACCCCTGCGGAGGCTGGCGGGGCGTGGGGTGCCACTCGCTCCGGCACCCTCGCCGCGTCACCAGCGTGGAGCTCACGTCCTCCGGCCTGTCCGGCACGGTGTCCCCCTACCTCGCCAACCTGACCTTCCTCCGCACGCTCAACCTGTCAGGCAACCTCCTCGCCGGCACCATCCCACGGGAGCTCGGCTCCCTGCGTCGCCTCTCCGAGCTTGACCTTAGCGACAACAACCTGCAAGGTGAGATCCCTTCGTCCCTCACGCGCTCCTCCAGACTTCGTGCACTACTTCTGGGGCGCAACAGCCTGGTGGGAGAGATCCCCGCCAACTTGAGCCACTGTCGCCACCTCGAGGTCTTGGACGTTGGCGTCAACAACCTCACCGGCCAAGCTCATCCACTGCTACTTGGCCTCGCCTCTCTCTCCAACCTCAAGAAGCTTCGCCTCTACACCAACAATATCGTGGGCACCATCCCTTGCTCTCTTGGAAACCTTACATCTCTAGTGATTTTGAGCATGGGTAGAAACAGATTAGTAGGCGAGATACCAGAATCCTTTGGACAAATGACCAAGTTGCGGTATCTCCATTTAGCCTTCAATGAGCTCTCGGGCACCATCCCGGCATCCATCTTTAACTTGTCTTCAATCAGACAGATCCAGCTGAGTCACAATGATTTGTCTGGTGTTATCCCGAATGATGTTGGATCTACTCTCCCAAACCTCGAGTTTTTGTTGCTCTATTCTTGCAATTTCCATGGAAGGATTCCCGGCTCATTAGGAAATGCTTCTCAACTCGTAATGATTGAACTTGCCAACAATCAGCTCCATGGATCTGTGCCACTCAACATTGGCAGCTTGAGAAACCTCGAGGTGCTGGCACTAGAGAATAACCAGCTACTAGAAGCAAGTTGGCAAAAGGATTGGGACCTACTGGCATCCTTAGCAAACTGCACTCAGCTTTTCGCACTGGCCCTATCCTCTAAGCGTTTCCGGGGTCCATTTCCACCATCCATTGCGAATCTATCTTCAATTGAGATGATGTATCTCGAGGGTAACAGCATATATGGCGAAATCTCTCCAGATATCACAAAGCTTGAGAAACTTACCAACTTCCAAATTGGTGGCAACTTGTTAACCGGCACAATACCGGAAACAATTGGGGAGCTTCACGACCTTCAAGTCCTAGAATTATTCGGGAACAACATTCAGGGACTAATCCCTTCTACAATTGGTAACCTCACACGCCTGTTCCGTCTTGTCCTTTCTCACAATAACTTGATGGGATCCATTCCTACAAGTTTTGGATGGCTGGACCGCATGGCCAGTCTAGACTTATCACACAACCAACTGAGAGGTACTATACCAACACAACTAGTCAGCCTCACCTCTTTAACCAAGAAACTGGATCTTTCTCATAACTTTCTTCATGGTCAAATCCCATTTGAGATAGGAAGTTTAATAAACCTGGTGCAGCTCGATTTTTCAAACAATAAACTATCAGGAGAGATTCCCTCACCTCTTGGAAAATGTACTGAGCTTGCCAGTCTTGGTCTCCAAAATAACATCCTCACTGGTCGCATCCCCCTATCACTTGGTAGCTTGAAAGGGATACAAGAAGTAGATCTTTCAGGAAACAACTTGACTGGACAAATTCCAACTTTCTTTGACTCCTTGCCCTTCTTGGTTTACATGAATATCTCCTACAACAACCTTGACGGTCCCATTCCAGTAAGTGGTGTCTTTAGCAATGCAAGTAGAATCTTCTTGGCCGGCAATCAGGTGTGCGGTGGTATTCCACAGTTACATCTCCCACACTGCACTCCCAAATCATCCGATGGTAAGAAGCATACACCAAGGAGATATTTGCTCATCATCATATGCACTGTTTTCGGAGCATTATCAATATTTGTTATGCTCTTCCTATATGGCATGTGCCGGTGCTCTAAAAGGCAACAGGGGGAGGGGCTGCAACCACTTTCAGAGGATAATCATTGGCAAGTCTCATTCCTTGATCTACAGAGAGCAACGAACCATTTCTCTCCAGATAGTCTTGTTGGGACGGGAAGTTTTGGAGCTGTGTACAGAGCAACTTTGCACAACAGGGAGGTTGCAATAAAGGTGCTGAACCTTTTGCAACAAGGGGCCGAGGGAAGTTTCCTGCGCGAATGTCATGCCTTGAGAAGCATGCGTCATCGGAATCTTGTAAAGATCATTACGGTGTGCACAAGTGTTGACCACCAAGGAAATGATTTCAAAGCTTTGGTGTATGAGTTCATGCGCAACGGGGACCTTGACAGTTGGCTACATACAAGTCAAGTCATGGAGGGTGAAGCACCAAGGATGTTGACCATGGTGCAAAGGGTGAACACTGCACTCGATATTGCCCAAGCACTTGATTATCTGCACAACCGGGGTCAATCACCAATTGTTCATTGCGATATGAAGCCAAGCAATGTGCTTCTAGACAATGACATGGTCGCACACGTAGGGGATTTTGGGCTATCACGATTTGTTGATAAGATGATGAACAGCGGCTCAACGGAGGATCCAAATGCTGGAAGATCTTCTGGAATTAGAGGATCCATCGGATATATTGCTCCAGGTGTGTGTACTGTACTCTGATGTTTGCCTTTCCTTCTACCGTTTCTTCCAAAAGAGTTGTTCCATCCACATAATCATATCTGATTGTGCTACATTTTATTGCTTGAAATCTGTAGAATACGGGATGGGTGGGGAAGTCTCCATTGATGGTGATGTATACAGCTACGGAGTGATCCTTCTTGAGATGTTCACGGGAAAGAGTCCCACGGATGGCATGTTCCAAGGGGACCATACTCTGCGATTCTATGTTGCGTCAAACTATCCGGACAGAGTTACTGAAATTGTTGACCCAGCATTGTTACAAGCCGAGCAATGCAGCGGAATTACAAAGAGGATACCAGAGGATACCAGGTTACAAGGGTGCCTAGTGGCGGTCTTCCACGTTGGGTTACAATGCACGGAGGAATCACCAAGAACAAGAATGAGCATCAGAGATGCCATAAATGAGCTGGTAATGCTAAGAGAGAAATTCATTGAGTAAGCACAAAATAATGTGGTAATTAAGATGCTGTTATTTGTAACTTGTAAGGTTAATAATCACAGTGCATTGTGCTTCTACAAAATCAGAAGGTTCACGATGAAATTTATTCTCGGGACTAGGATGAATGATGCATTTATTCCACATGATCTAGCCTCCATGGCTCCACCGCAAGGACATCGCTAGTTAAGGACACATGAAACATTAAACATGAAACATGATGCATAGTATTATGATGTGGCCATCAGCGCTGAAGTTCTTGTATCATGTCCGAACATTGCTCTAGCTACACCGGACCGGAAGGAGTTTCAAGTGGCAGGACAAAGGAGAAAGACAACCCGTATTTTAGGAGATGTTCCATGTGCTATGGAGGATAAGGGAATGAACTTGGGTCATGATAATTTGATGCAACAAGTTTTAATTGGTTCAATGCTGCTCCATATTACTCAACCGTAGGAAGAAGTCATACCAAAATTTAGGACTCCGCCAAGAAAAGCCTTGCTTCAGTCGGTTGGAAAGAAATAAGCAAATTTGCAATTTAATCTGTTGCGGGCTGCGGTGGATCC